ATCAACCTTAGGCTCACTAATCAAAATCATTGCAAGAATCTTAAATCTTTGCTTAACTATTAACGGTGGAAGAAATAGTTTAACAAGCATAAAGATCAAACATCAACATACAGAGGACATGTTTAAGCCAAACATACGATCTACCTAAGAACATACGTGAATAAAGATCAAACATCAACATACAGAGAACATGTTTAAATCAAAATTAAGTGAGAGGAATACCTCAAAATGAGTAGAGACAGTGTCTGCAGTAAACCAAGGTGGGGTGACAGTCACCAGGAGCAGAAACAAAAGGGAAGAGTGAAGCAGTTAGGCTTGCCTTCCCTGAAAGCCAGCTTCTCACCCCCATTTTGCTATGCCAGAGAAGGGGCAAGGAGGAGGGAGGGGAGACAGGCAGGCTGGCAGTGGAGTCAACAGGGGCTAAGGAAGGTCAGGGAATCAAAGGGAGCCCATGGGGGAGGAGGCTGCGGAAAAACACGAAGCCTGGGTGAGTGGGTGGGGTGGGGTAGGGAAGGTGATTTCCCCTCCCCTCGTCAGTACTGGTGGGTCCTCCTCTTACTTATTCCTAACATTTTTAGAGAATGTTGTTGGTAACTGTGGTGGAACAGGCCTGCTTTGGCCTGCAGGCCCTGTTCCACCCTGCCCTCTAAGGTTTTTCCTTTTCTCTCCCTACGGTAATCTGCCACCCCCACCTGACCTTTGTAGGAATTGCCCACTGGGAGGGCCAGGACTCCCAGCTTCCCTTCCGAGTTCTGAGGCCTCGCCTCTGTGTGTCCTTGCTGCCCAGCGCCTGGTCACCACAGGGACAGTTTACTGCCTTGTGCACCTCTGGAGGAATGGCCACTTGCCAACTGATTGCCTTCCATCCCCCGGTGCTCCTTTTAAAATAACTTGTCTGAGAAAGTGGAGATCTATGTGGTACAGAGAACCACTAGCAGCATCAAAAGTTATAGAGTGGCCCTGTTCACACGGAGAAGTTGCCGCGTTAAAGACACGAATGACAGGTGGATTTTCGGTGCGCGATCACACCGCAACATCTGGGAAGCGTAGTGCACCCGTGGCTTCCCGCCGAAGATGCGGAGTAAAAAACTACTGCAGAAAGCGCACTAGTTTCCGGAAACCGCGGGGCAGGGGCGGGTGTCTGATCACGTTTCCGCTTGAATCCTATGGCATCCGGCGCTCGTCCCGTCGCAAACCGGATGTTTTTGTTTTAGTCTCCACCGGATGCGCCCAATGGCACATGCGCAAACGTCGGTGGTAGTGGGGAATTCCCCTTTGCCATGGAAGCGGCGCCTAGCGATTGCCGGTGTGATTGCGCCGCGCCACTTCTTTGCCGCACTTCAGGATAGTCGTGTGATCGGCACCTAACGGCCTAACCACGGGAACTCGACGGGACATGTGCCCAGGATGCCGCACTTTACTTTGCTCCAGGGCAAACAGCCACGCTTCCCCCCTGCATTTTCCAGCCCGTATGACCGGGGCCAGTATTTATTTGAAAGAAAATTTTCACAAGCATACTTTTATCACAGCACCAGATTTAGCAAGGTGGTCAAAAGAAATGGGTAAAATGCAATTCCTCTGACCCTCTCTCTACACATGCCCTATCAGATGTTAAAAATATAGGACTGGCTTTTTAGCTTAGGAAGTTACAGATCTCTTCAGAGTGTCCTTTACCTTGAAGTGTTTTGCAGCTCTCCAGGACAGCACATGGTTAAAATGGCTGTCTCCTCCAGAGAGAAGAGTTCTGTCTGCTCTGATAGACTCTGTACCCAAAGAGACCTCCTCCTTGCTGCAAGGAGTTTTAATCATATGTTTCTTCACCCACTGACCAGGTCAGGTCAGAGAAGCTTTTCCTGAAATCTCCAGAATTTCCTTCTTCAAGCCTCACTAGTATTTAATACCACCAAGTCTCTGTTCCCTGCTGGAGGGACCTTCCTTGACCATCATAGCCATGATGGGGCATTTTGGGACCCTGCTCCTTTAATTAAAAGCCCCATCCCACAAATAGCCATGTTTCCCAAAGGCTCATGGGAATGCCCTTCTAAGCTTTCTTGCCCTGTGGAAGAGCTCAAAAGGCATTGTCATGATCTGGGCTGTGCCACCAGAGGCCTACTAGGCCCAGGGAACCTGGCTAGCAGTAGGTGAGGCTGGGCCTACAACTCCCAGAAGCCCCTGAGAGGTTTTGGAGCCAAAATTGACCAATAGGGAAGGGCTGGGGAACAAAAGGGCTGGTGCCAGAGCAGAAGCTGTTCTTTCTTCCAGAGGGCAGAGCCAGAAGGGAGGCTGCTGGAGGGAAGAAACCCTCATTCTGAGGGAGGGGTGAGTAGTCTAGTGTCACCTGGAATAGTGAGCTAGGGACAGTATATATTTAGACGCATTAGGGCATTCGATTTCTTTTCACCCACTTACTGTTATTATTCTACACCTTGTTGTTTGACCTCCTATAAAATAAAACTTTTCCTTGTTTCACTCTGCCTGGTCCTCACGCCTGTTATTTGGCATAAAGGGAGGTCTGAAGGTCTTGGGAGGGTGCTCTGGGCCTTCTCAAGGGAGCCTGGAACCAGAGTGGTGGCAGCGTCAGGTGACACCCCACCTGTGTCATGACAGGCATTTAAATGCCCTCTGAGTTATTTTTCCCCCTAGAAACTGACACATTCGCTACCCTGTCCCTTGAAAGGAAGAGCTAGAAAGAGGCTCAGAGCCTTCCCCTTTAAAGACAGGCATCCAGATTAATTTGATTAACTATAATTTAACTGCCCCCCCCCCAACAAAAAATCCTGGCTACAGGCCTGACCGTCTCATTGTCTAGACCTATTAGCATTTGTATGAAGGTGGGCTGAGGTGAGTCTGGAAAGCAACTGAATTGACTTCCTCCTCCCTGCCTGTTCTTTGCCCACAGAGAGAGAGAGAGAGAGAGAGAGAGAGAGAGAAAACTTTCAAAACTCAAGAGTGAACGTTTTGCTCATTTCAAGCCTCCAAAGGAAAAAATTACCAACAGAAATTTGTCCCAAGGAATGTGGTGTTTAGAGAAGGTGGGAGGAAGAGGTTCTTGTCCCTTCTTTGACGCTCTCCTCTTTCACAATGGAAAGAGGGTTATCTCCTGCATCCAGCCTGTGGCCCTCCTGAATTGAGTGCGATTCAGCTGACATTGTTTAGCGACGCCATGCAACTGTGTCCTTTGCCTTCGAAAGCAGAAGGGGGATTTGAGACAGTGCATCTATCAGGGATCTCCATCCCAAGCAGAGAACCCAAACATTCAACGATGAGCTGAGCTTTTCTGATGGGTTCAGTTCACGTTCTGCTCTATCCATTGCGAGCAAAGAAGGTGGAATGAAGCTTGGAATCAAAGATAAAAGATGCAGTTAGATGGATGCCAAGCGCCGAAGAATAGATTCTTTCGAATTATGGTGCCGCAGAAGACTCTTGAGAGTCCCTTGGACTGCAAGGAGATCAAATCAGTCAGTCCTAAAAGAAATCAACCCTGACTGTTCCCTGGAAGGCCAGATAATGAAACTGAAGCTCAAATACTTTGGCCACCCTATGAGAAGGGAGCACTCACTGGAGAAGACCCTGATGCTGGGAAAGATTGAAGGTCAAAGAAGACGGGGACGGCAAAGGATGAGAGGGTTAGACAGTGTCATCGATGCAACGGACATGAAATGGAGCAAACTCTGGAGGACAGGAAGGCCTGGCGTGATGTGGTTCATGGGGTCACGAAGAGTCAGACTCGACTGTATGACTGAACAACAACAACAACAAATAGATGGACCTTTGGACTGCTTAAACTATTTTTGGTAATATCTCCATTCAACTAAGTTCAGGTCAGTTGAAGGAACGTTTTCCTCAAACCTCTCAATTTAAACTAGAAGCTTCCAAATGTTAATCTCTAATGTATTCACAGGGCTCTTTTTGTAGCAGGAGCTCCTTTGCATATTAGGCAACACCCCCCTAATGTAGCCAATCCTCCAAGAGGTTTCAGAGCTCTCCTTACAGGGGCTACTGTAAGCTCTTGGAGGATTGGCTACATTAGGGGCATGTCACCTAATATGCAAAGGAGTTCCTGCTACAAGAAGAGCCCTGACAGTATAGTACTATTTATCTTTTCCATCTTTTATACCCAGGTATCAACTGTAACAGTTTCATTTGTTTCAGTAACGCTTCTTTTAAGCAAACATACCATTCAACTTCTGAGAAATCAGCCACAGACTATTCATATTATAAGTTTCATGCTATATAAACTATATTTAAACATGCGTGTGCTGATTCTATTGGGGGGGTTTGAATTATTTATTTATTAGATTTATATCCCACCTCTCTCTTGCAATGCAGGACTCATTGTGGCTCCCAACATTTTTAGAAGAAGTACAACGTAACCATAAAGGTTCATCATTGAAACAGTTAAAAACAGTTAAGATCTTGACAATCTCCCGGTACCTAGAAATATTCTTAAGAGGAAACATCTGGCAGACCAATAACCACTAAAAATAAAAGGATTAACTAAAGGCCTGGCAGAACAATTGCATGCCCCGTGGAACCTTGATGGGTCCCACAGGGCACATGTCTCCTCTGATAAAGCATTCTACCAGGATGTGGCTATGATGGAAACAGCTTATTTCCCGTAAGATTACCACTGGAATTACCACTGGAAACTCTTTCCACACACCAGATATTTTACGATTTCTCCGATACAGAGTCTCCAATTGGAAATAAGCTGTCCATTCCATTCAGCGCTTTCCCTCAAACTGGACACTATGAAGTTTCTAAAGGTGTACTTTACTAGAACAAGTCTTTCCACATTCAAATCACATTTTCCACATTCAAATCCACATTCAAATCATTTATATGGATTTCGTGCTCATGTGAGCTCTTTTATGAGAAATAAGACTTCTTCTTTGTCTAAAGTCCTTTCCACATTCGAGACATTTATATGGTTTCTCCCCAGTGTGTCCTTTTTGATGCATAAGAAGATGTCCACGATGGGCAAAATATTTTTGACACACCAAGCATTGATAAGGTTTCTCTCCTGTATGAATTTTTCGATGACTGGTAAGACCGGAACCCACACGGAAGCTCTTCCCACATTCAAAGCATTTGTATGGCTTCACCCCTGTGTGAATTCTTCGGTGCTGACTGAGGTGTGTAGTCTGCCTGAAGCTCTTTCCACACTCTAGGCATTTATATGGCTTCTCTCCTGTGTGGGTTCTTTCATGTGCCTGTAAGCTGATGCTGTATCTGAAGGTCCTTCCACACTCAAAGCACTTGTGTGGCTTCTCCTCTGTGTGTATCCTCTGATGTTTAGTTAAGTACCAGCTCGATGTGAAGCTCTTTCCACACTCTGAACATTCATAAGGTTTCTCCCCATTGTGCAGTCTTCGATGTGAACTGAGGCCTGAGCTTTGGCTGAAGCACTTTCCACACTCGTCACATTTATATGGTTTCTCCCCAGTGTGACTATTTTGATGAGAGGTAAGGTGTGATGTATAGCGGAAACCTTTCCCACATTCCAAACACTTGTATGGTCTCTCCCCTGTGTGGATTCTTTGATGGGAAGTGAGAGCTGTGCTCCATCGGAAGCTCTTCTCACACACTGGGCATTTGTATTTCTTTTCCCCTGTGTGGATTCTATGATGAGAAGCAAGGCCAGAGCTCTGTCTGAAACTCTTTCCACACTGCAAACATTTATATGGTTTCTCTCCTGTGTGAATTCTTTGATGTGAAATAAGGCCTCCGCTACTAGTCAAACTTTTTCCACACTCCAAGCATTTGTATGGTTTTGTCCCTGTGTGGGTTCTTTGATGTACACTGAGCTGCGAACTCAAACGGAAGGTCTTTCTGCATTCTAAGCATTCATAAGGTTTTTCCCCCGTGTGAATTCTCAGGTGTCTAACAAATGTTTGTTTGTCAGAAAAACTCCAGCTGCAGTCCGAGCATTTGTACGGTCTCTCTCCTGAATGGATTCTTTTGTGTAAAGTCAATGCCGAAACGTATCTGAAGTCCTTTCCACATTCAGTGCATTTATATGCCTTTTCTCCTATGCACATTCTTGGTTGTGATATAAGTTGCTTGTGCTGATTGAAACACTTCCCGCCTCTCCCAGCTTTATATGGTTTCCTGGTCGAGTGAATGGATCGATGTTTGGCAAGCATTTTACGATTACCGGAACGCTTTCTACACTCCAGTAGTTTATTTGGCTTCTCCCCTGTGTGAATTGGCTGGTGCCTTACAAGACTTGACTTATCAGAAAACCTGTTGCTACTGCCTGAGCCTTTATGGAGCTTTTCTGTCATATGGGACCTCTGATGCGCCTTAAGGCTGAGGTTGTTCGCAAAGTTCTTTCCACACTCCAGGCACTTGAATGCTTTCTCTCCCGTTTGGGTTTTGCAAGTTGGATTAAGGGTGGGTGTGCAGTGGAATGTTCTCTCAGCCAAAGGGCTCTTATTCCCCCTCTTTCGTTCATGGTGTTCTTCCTGGACTGATATTTTGTGGATCTCACCACTCTGTCCAGCAGTGGATTTCTCTCTCTCCTTCTTCCTCATTGATCCCTCTTGAGTACCAAAGGCCTCTTCCTCTGCTCCACGTGTGGTTGTTTCCAGTGACACCTCAGAGAGCTTCTTGTAGTATTCCACTTCATCCCAGTCACCTGCTAGAAGGAAGAAAGGGAGGGAGGGAGAGAGGGAGAGAGAGAGAGAGAAAGAACACCTTGATTACATGAAACCCATGAAACTGCCTTCTACTGAATCAGACCCTTGGCCCGTCAAAGTCAGTACTGCCTACTCAGACTGGCAGTGGTTCTCCAGGGTCACAAGACAGAGGCCTTTCCCATCACCTACTGCCAGATCTTTTAACCTTAGATGCTGGGGATTGAAGCGGGGAACTTCTGCATGCCAAGCAGATGCTCTACCACTGAGTCACAGTTGAGCTGAGGAATGAAGCTACTCACCGATCACCAACAGAATTAGTACTTGTACAGAATTCATACACAAGCGGGGGACTCATCAGGACTTGGGGGGTGGGGAGGCATCTCATTTCCCCTCCCCCTCCCCTGAAAGCTCTACTGTTTTCCTGCTTCCTCTCCCCCTTCCCACCCACCAGCCAACCTACCTCTATTGGCTTCTCTGTCTTCATCCTTCCCTCCCCCTGGCAGCCTCTCCCCATGAACTAGGTCAAGTTGCACAGGGGGGGAACCTGAAAGGATTTTTTGGGGGTACCTCACTTTCCCCTGTACCCCCCCCTCATTATTTCCTGTTCCCTTTCTCCTGCCAGTCTTCATATCCTCAGCTTCCACGGCTTCCTCCTATCCTTCACGCCCACCTACAAACCTACCTTTAATCTGCCTCCTCACCTTCAGCTATATTTACTTCACTTATATCCCACCCCTCTCCACAGTGAGGACCCAAAGTGACTACAGGGCTCTTTTTGTAGCAGGTACGCATTTGCATATTAAGCGACACACCCCTAATGTAGCCAATCCTCCAAGAGCTTACAGTAGCTCCTGTAAGAAGAGCTCTGTAAGCTCTTGGAGGATTGGCTACATTAGGGGTGCGTGGCCTAGTATGCAAATGAGTTCCTGCTACAAAAAGAGCCCCACTTAGACCATTCTCATCCCATCCACTTTATCTACACAAAACCCATGGCAGATGAGGTCAGGGTGAGGCGTGTGTAACTGGCCCAAAGTCACCCAGCAAGCTTCCACAGCATATTAGGGAGTTGAACCTGGGTCTCCCAGATCCTAGTCTGAAACTCTGACCACCACACCACACTGGATTTCGTGAGGTAGCTATTGTTGAATAGTAGCAAGTGGCCAGTACAGGATAAGCCATGGAAGTAAAGTGGTACCAAGGTGCCCAAGTCCTGCCCCAGATGAGCCCCCTCCCAAAGGCCAAAAAAGCCCTGGAAAGGGCCCTGCCCCCTCCCCCTGCTTTTTACTGACAGAAACCAAGGCATGAAGGCTGGCAATACTGCACTGCTACTATCATTTCGGAGGGTTTAACCCCCCACACACACAATTTTAAGATTTCAGCTCTTCTCAGGTTGGCAGAAAGATCTGTCTCGCCTGTCCATTGCTCTAATCTCTGGATTTAAGTAACTGCAGATTGGGCAATGTGGAGAATTAGATGTATCGATATGGCCCCTCATTCTGTTTCAGTCTCTTTCCTGACCTGATAACGTAAGACAGGCCAGAATAGCCAAGGTGGGGGGACTTTCTCAGGAAAATAGAATCTTTGAGCAACCTTCCAGGGAATACTATTTTAGCCACCATGGATGTGGAATCTCTGTATACCAATATCCCACACAAAGATGGATTACAAGCCATGAGGAATATGATTTCTGAAAACAACACAGCTAAATTTGCCACCAAACACTGCCATTTTGTTCCCACCCACAACCACTTCAGGTCCACTGACAACCTGTTTCTCCAGATCAATGGTACAGCCGCGGGCACCCGCATGGCCCCGCGGGCACCCACTTCCTAAACTCCCACCCACTCCTACCTCTCTTATACTTGCATTACAATGATGACTTTTTTATTGTCTGGACACATGGTAAAGAAGCCCTGGACACATTCTACCAGGCATTCCACGATTTTCACCCCACCATAATCTGACAATGAACCAATCCAGGTAAGAAATACATTTTCTGGACACTACTGTCAAAGTACACAATGGACACATAGACACCACCTTATACTGGAAACCTACTGACCGACAAACATACCTACGTGCCTCCAGCTACCATCCTAAACATACCAAACGATCCATTGTATACAGCCAGGCTCTATGCTACAGCCGTATCTGCTCCAATCCTACAGACAGAGATTCTCACCTGAGGGATCTACAACACACCGAAACTAAGGTATCCACCTGAGGAAGTCAGGAAACAGATCAACAAAGCCAGAATGATACCCAGAGAAACCCTGTTAGAAGACAGCCGCCCAAAAGAAACAATAACAGAACACCACTAGTGGTCACATACAGCTCTCAGCTCAAAACAGTTCAATGCATTGTCAGTACCTTACAACCTCTACTGGATAATGATAGTTCTCTTTCACAAGTACTGGGGGGGAGGGGAGAGACCTTTTCTTGCCCACAGACAGCCACACAAACTCAAAAAACTCACCTGCAATAATGCAACATCTAATTTGAACATGGACACTGAAACCAGAGCTTGCAATAAACCCAGGTGTCAACCTTGCTGCCACATACACCCAGACAACACAATCACTGTACCTAACAACATCAACTACATCATCCGAGGCTCATTCACTTGCTCATCTTCTAACATTGTATATGCCATTAAATGCCAACAATGCCCTTCGATTCTCTACATAGGACAAACCCTACACCAGAGGATAAATGGACACAAATCTGACATCAGGAATCACAAGACTGAGAAATCCGCAGGAGAACACTTCAGCCTTCCAGGACATTCAATGAATGACCTCAAAGTAGCTGTTTTATTACAAAGAAACTTCAGGAACAGAATGGAAAGGAAGATTGCCAAATTACAAGTTATTACAACACTTTGAACAAAAACCTCCCCAGGACTCAACAGGGATACTGGTTTCTTATCTTATTACACATGCTAACCCATTCAGTCCTCACATATGTATTCTCAACAAGAAGGACTATACATCCTATGTATTTTAGTGTACTTCTTTTTCAGAATAATATGTTAAAATACTAACTGTAATGCAATGAATAATGGAATGTTTTGCTCTTAAGTTACCTCCACGCCTGAGAGGAGACGAATGGGATTGTCAGTTTCCTTCCCACAATTAGAAAAGATGCCTTCTCACATTTATCCCCTATTTTGACATATTTATTGCTGTGCTGTCCTTTCCCCCTTAGTTAAATCAAAACAACCTTAGCTTGTTATTTAGTTTTCACTTTGAATATCTTAAAGCATCTTAAAGCATGTTACATGTTAATTTGCTGTTCAGCCTGTATTTATAAGTTTGAAATCCAGCTTCCTTTCCAATGTATTTGGAAAAGTGTGCATGAATAAACCTTTGTTGGTCTTAAAGGTGCCACTGGACTCTGAATTTGCCGCAGAGTATTCCATCTATACCTTGTAGCTAAGAGCCACTGACGGGCCTCTGCTTCAGATGTTTATCCAAAAGCATAAGCTTTTGTTGACTCAAGCCCTCTTCCTCAGATGCAGGGCGGGGGAAATCCTCTAACCAACTATTGCTCGTTTTTGCTCCAAGAGACTAACAAACCGTCCTCTCTCAGCAGTCTAGTGAAAGAAGATTACACTGGGCTATCTCCCTTGCATTAAGTAGATGCTCTCCGGCAGTTCCTCTTTCTGACCCAGGCGTTTCCACACAGAGGTTGTTTTTTAGTGTTTTCTACACTGCTGATAGGAGCTGCGGTGGCTCAAGTGGTTAAGACGCTGAACTGCAGGCTGTGAAAGGTCAGATAGACCTCCTGATGGCACTGGTATTTTTGGCCACTGTGTGACACAGAGTGTTGGACTGGATGGGCCTTTGGCCTGATCCAACATTGGCGTCTCTTATGTTCTTATGTTCTTAGTAGTTCAGCAGTTCGAGACCCAGGTGCCGCATGACGGAGTGAGCTCCCGTCTCTAGTTCCAGCTCCTGCTAACCTAGCAGTTTGAAAGCAAGAAATTGCAAATAGATAAATAGGTACCATTTTGGTGGGAAGGTAACAGCGTTCCGTGCGCCTTGGTGTTTAGTCATGCCGGCCACATGACCACGGAAACATCTTCAGACAGCGCTGGCTCTTCGTCTTCGAAACGGAGATGAGCACCGCAACCCTAGAGTCGGATTCGACTGGCTTTCGAGCAAGGGAACCTTTACCTTTACACTGCTGATGCAGCATGCGGAGGGGGTTTCCTCGCACCTCACCAGTCCTAGCACCCACAGCAGCAATCCCACTCCACCCCCAGCACCTTCAGGGAGCTTTTTTAATGCTTTGTAAAATCAACAATTGATATACCAAATTAGCCATATATTTTGTCAATTAGCCATTTTTACAAAATCTTTAAAAGTTGTCCTCTCCATAGCATTGGGGCAGGGGAACGGCCCCTGTAGGGATGGAGAAATGGCTTCCTCTCCCAAAAGACCAGAACTCGAGGGCATCCAATGAAGCTGATGGGCAGTAGGTTTAGGAGGGGCAAAAGGAAATACTACTTTACGCAGAGAGGGATGAAAATGTGGAATCCGCTGCCAGAGAACGGAGTGATGCCCACGGGAATAAACAGCTTTAAAAGAGGATTAGATAGATTCATGAAGGCTAAATCTATCAGTGGCTCCTAGCCATGGGGGCCGAGGGGAACCTCCACATTCAGCAGCGCTGAATCCCTGAGCCAGAAGGCAACATCAGCGGAAGGCCTCGGCCTCTATGCCCTATTTTTGGCTGTCCAGAGGAACTGGCTGGCCACCGTGTGAGACGGGATGCTGAATTAGAAGGACTCCTGGTCTGAACTAGCAGGCCTCTTCTTATGTTCTTATGACAGGGAAGAGATGGGCTTTCTCACCCACTCAGCAGCCATGCTGGCTATTATGTGATCTTTCCTGAAACATCATAGTAAAGAAAGGTCTGAGAAAGATTGCAGGACAGGGAAAACGCGGGAGGTGCAGGAAAGCAGCACGATGCGGTAGGGAAGAAGGGAAGGGCACCAACAGCATCCCAGCTGGGCCAAACAACTTATGTGGGGGAACGTGCTTAGCAGCCAAACAAAGTTTGAGTCCAACGGCGCCTTTAAGAACAACAAAGCTTTACTCTGCGTTTAAGCTTTCGTGTGCACGCATACTTCTTCCACCCACTGGACCTAGGTAACAGAGGCAACACCGTTGGGTCTTGGGAGTAAAACTATATTCCAATAGGGACCGCGGGGCTCTTTTTGTAGAAAAAGCCCAGCAGGAACTCATTAGCATAACAGGCCATACCCAACAGCATGAACTCATTAGCATATTAGGCCACACCCCTGACAGCACAGCTTATTAGCCTATTAGGCCACACCCCCATGTTACCAGAAGTGTGGTCATCCAGCCACACCCACCTTTTGCTTGTTATTCTGTTTACCTTGTTTGTTGTCAAAACCCAGGGCTTTTTTTGTAGCAGGAACTCCTGTGCATGTTAGGCCACACACCCCTAATGTAGCCAATCCTAATGGGTTTCTGCTGTTGGGTGTGGCCTATTATGCTAACGAGTTCCTGCTGGGCGTGGCCAACTCGGGAGCCAGCCGGAACTCCGTTCCTGTGCGTTCCTGCCCAAAAATAGCCCTGATGGACCCTATCCACCAGAAAACCCTCTGCTCCACTCTCTTCACTGTCCTTTTCCCCCTGGAGCAGTGCAGAATCGTTCGTATTCTGTCCCTGGACCATCAAAGCGGGAATTGCCAGAAAACAGAAATAATTCTGGACAACAGTGTAACAAAAGCTCACGGTCATAACAGAGCCAGGGGAATGTGATCCCCTTCAACTTTATGGGGGGGGGGGAAGGGAAGGGAGACAGTTCAAGGGGAACTCTCACCCCACTGAGGCAAATCTACTCTGGGATGCCAGTTTGGTGCAGTGGTTAGGACTCTAATCTGGGAGAACTGGGTTTGATTCCCCACTCTTCCACATGCACCTTCTGGGTGACCTTAGGCAAGCCACAGTTCCCTCAGAGCTGTTCTCAGTCAGAGCTCTCTCAGCCCCACCTCCCTCACAGGGTGTTTGCTGTGGGGAGGGGAAGGGAAAGGAGGGTGGTTAGGACTCTAATCTGGGAGAACTGGGTTTGATTCCCCACTCTTCCACATGCACCTTCTGGGTGACCTTAGGCAAGGCACAGTTCTCTCAGAGCTGTTCTCAGTCAGAGCTCTCTCAGCCCCACCTCCCTCACAGGGTGTCTGTTGTGGGGAGGGGAAAGGAGATTGTAAGCCGCTCTGAGACTCCGAGTGAAGGGTGGGGTATAAATCTCTTCTTCTCTCTTCTTAAAAAGTACCTGAAAAATTCAATGTGGGAAAAAGGGGCCTACCCTGCACCTAAGCACCTACTTGCTGGTTTCTCTTCCTCCTCCTCCTCCTCCTCTTCCTCAGAGTCCAGGGCAAATGGATCTTCACCTTCTTCTAGGTAAGAGAGATAGTCAGGTTTGAGAACCCCTGTGGAGGAAATAAAAAGAGTCCAGCTACTTTTGGTTACAAAATATTTAGACATTCCAAAGAACCCCATTTTTTGACTCGCCTCTCAGAAAGAGGAAGAAAGGAAGCAGTTTTTTAACCAGCAGAAACAGTTTCATGGATTGGAATAACCTGGTTTGGCATTCAAGAGGATCAATCCACTTCTGAGGGAACCTGAACATGTTCGGAAGCAGCGACTCTCCAAACACCGAGGTACAACATCGGGGGAAGCTTTGGTCTCTGTGCCAAGGTCAAAAGCCTTTGATGGTCATTTATTTATTTTATTTATTTATTTTATTCAGTTTATACCCCGCCCTCCCCGCAATGCAGGCTCATCTGTTGGCGCAACTGTGGAAACCATGAAGCTAGACTAGATAGACCACTGGGTCTACTGAGGCAGGAATATTCCCCATATTCTTATGTTCTTAACCTAAATTACCAGTGGGGGATTCAGTTTTGGAGATTAAGCTAACATTGGCCTTTCCTCAGCACATAGAACAAAAGCCCCATCCTCCCAATGGCTCTCTCTGAAGGAAACCTTGTGGCCACACCTATCCGGAGTCCAGTGGCCAAGCAGCCTTTCTATCATCTGCACCTGGTTCACCAAGGCTGCAGTCACACACACTAAATAATCCACTTCCAATCCACTTCCAATGCACTTTCCAAATGGATTTTTACTGTGCGAACTGGCAAAATCGAATTCAAAAGAGCATCGAAAGTGGACTGAAAGTGGATTATTTCGTGTGTGTGATCGCGGCCTAACTCTCCCCATTCTTAGATCAGGTGGCCATGCTAATTTCCAACCATGTGGCTGGATTACTGTAACATCCACTATACTGGGTGGCCCTTGAAGACAAATTGGACACTTAGTCTGGGTTCAGAATGCAACAGCCCACGTTGTCAGGAACTAGCTGGCAGGAACACACCTCACCTATTTTAATGCAGCTATCTTAATGCAGCTTTGTTGGCTGCCAGACTGTTTCCGAGTTCGATTCAAGGTGCTGTTTTCGGACCTTCCAAGCCTTGTACAGCCTATGGGCCCACCTCTCTGAAAGAGGTCCCTCCTTCCCCTATGCCCCCATGAGCCAATGATGTTCCTCTAGCTGAACACCATCTAAGAGCATAAGGACATAAGAGAAGCCATGTTGGATCAGGCCGATGGCCCATCCAGTCCGGCACTCTGTGTCACACAGTAGCCAAAACACAGGTGTCATCAGGAGGTCCACCAGCGGGGCCAGAACTCCAGCCCCCCCCCCAACCACCAAGAATACAGAGCATCACTGGCCCAGACAGAATAATCCATCTATACCTTGTGGCTAAGAGCCACTGATGGACCTCTGCTCCATACGTTTTTCCAATCCCCTCTTGAAGCTGTCTATGCTTGTAGCCGCCACCACTTCCTGCAGCACTGAATTCCACGTGTTGATACTATTTATTTATTTATTTATTATTAATGACTCTTTGGGTGAAGAAGGACTTCCTTTTATCTGTTCTAAGCCTACTGCTCTTTAATTTCATTGAGTGTCCACGAGTTCTTGTATTGCGAGAAAGGGAGAAAAGTACTTCTTTCTCTACATTCCGTATCCCATGTACAATTCTGTAAATCTCTTTCGTATCATCCCCTCAACTGTCATTTCTCCAAGCTAAAGAGGCCTAACCTCTTGAACCTTTCTTCACATGCCAGGATTAAACAAAAAATATCCCAAAAGATTTCAGTCACACACCCAGGGACCGTCTAGGACCCCCCCCCCCCACGCCTCAGCCAGCCATTTCACTTAGCCTGGTCCTCTCTCTGAACACAAAACCTCCCTCCTGAGAAACTGGAACTCACTGTGATCAATAATGGGAACATCGCCATGGCGTTTATCGACCTAAGACAAAGGAATACTTACCCAGAAAGGTCACGTTCTCGTAATTCTCCAGCATGACGTCCTTGTATAGAGCTCTTTGGTCTGGATTGAGCAAAGGCCATTCCTCCACTGTGAAGTGCACAGCTACCTCCTCAAAGGAAACCAGGCCCTGAAACAGACAGAGCTGCTCATAGCAAGAAAAGATAAATAGAGGGGGTGTGTGATCCCCCCCTCCCCACTAAAATCTTCCTGTGAAACAACTGGTGGATTTCACAGTCTTCCCGGTTGGCAGCTCAGACATTCTGCAGTGCCAGAATAGCCCCGCCAATTCCTAACACACCCAGGTTGCTCCCCTGCCTCTCCCCCAACGATCCCCCCCCTTACCTGAGCTGGCTGAGTGGCAGCTGTTTCCATCTCCCCACAGAAGACAGAAGGTTCTAGAACATGACAGCAGCGACGCTCTTTGGCAGTCTGTGGGGAAGAAAATAAACGGGTGGTTGTGCAGTTTAAAGGGAACCACCACTTTCTTGCACTAAGAAGAAGAAGAAGAGATTGGATTTATACCCCGCCCTTCACTTGGAGTCTCAGAGCGCCTTACAAACTCCTTTCCCTGCCCCTCCCCACAGCAGACACCCTGTGAGGTGGGGGGGGCTGAGAGAGCTCTGACACAAACTGCTCTTTTTCAAGGACAGCTGTGCCAGAGCTTGGGACTGACCCAAGGTCACATCAGCAGGGGCAAGTGGAAGAGTGGGGAATCAAACCCAGTCCCCCCAGATTAGAGTCCGCGCACCTAACCACTACACCAAACTGGCTCTCTAACAGATGAGGGCTTATAGAGATTCATCAAGAAGAATTTTTTTTAAAAAAAGGACAGGAAGTTTATAATGAACCACAATTGTGGTATCTTTTCAGATTGGTTCCAAGCCACAAGCACAGAGGAAGACCTAAGGCCCTTCTAAACCTTGCAGTGACAAAGATGAAATGCCGAATAGCAGGAACCAGAGAGAGGTACCCAATGCTCACAACTATTTATTTAGAAGAAGAAGAAAAGAGATTGGATTTATACCCCGCCCTTCACTACCCGAAGGAGTGTCAGAGCGGCTTACAATCTCCTTTCCCTTCCCCTCCCCACAACAGAACCTTATGAGGTAGGTGGGGCTGAGGGAGCTTTCTCAAGAACTGCCCTTGCGAGAACAGCTCTGAAAGAACTTGTAACTGACCCAAGGTCACACCAGCAGCTGCATGTGCAGGAGTAGGGAATCAAACCCAGTTCTCCCAGATTAGAAGAAGAAGAAAAAGAGATTGGATTGGCTGAGAGAGCTCTTGACAGAAACTGCTCTTTTTCAAGAACAGCTCTTATCAGAGCTACGGCTTGCCCAAGGTCATCCAGCCAGGTGCAAGTGGAGGAGTGGGGAATCAAACCCGGTTCTCCCAGATTAGAGTCCGCGCACTTAACCACTACACCAAACTGGCTCTCATTAGAGTCCATGCTCCTAACCACTACACCAAACTGGCTTTATTATATAAAACAGTTATCAAATTCCACTCTCTCAGGATTGTCTACTGTATAAATGGAAACTGGGGGCATTGAGACTCCTACCTCTGTCACTGAACCCAAGCTTCAGTTCAACGAAAAAAGAAAAAAAACTTGTAAAAATTTATCATTTCAGGAATTCCAGCATAACATGCCACAAGGCCGGAGTTCAGAATCAAAACCCACCCATGAGGGCAACAGAAGGAAGAGAATGAGCTCAGCTGGAGGGATTTCAGCAAAGACCCGCTTCAGGGGAGAAGCGAGAGTAAAGTGGAGCAGAAAAACCATCCATGTCTCAAATACATGCCCAGTGATGCTTCCACTGGCTGGAAACAGCCCCCCCCCCCCCCCCCCCCCCACCGGTCCTCAAACTCCTTATTGTTGGATATTGTTTCTCTGCATGCAAGAGGATCTGGGAAGGAAAACAGTAAGAGAATTCTCTCACTCGGGTACACTTGGCAGTTGGCCCCACCCTCTCATGGGTTAGATGTTGAGCCTCTTTGGCCGTTGCTTTGCCTTCTGCGTTTCATTTTATACAGGACCCCTCTCCTCCTCTCTCTTACCTGGGCTTGGAGCTGCAGGAAGTTAACCTTTTTGAAGCTAATCTGGTCACAATAAGTTAGATGTACCTATGTGAATATGTCTTGTAAGATGTGCTTCTATATTCATAAGTAAAATTTCTTTCTCTTATTTATTGATTTATAATTGGGATTCATAAATCACTCAATCCCTGAATACTCAGGGCTCTGAGCAATGGACAACAACAATAAAAACATATAACCAAACAATACCGACAATTTAAAAGCTGATTAAAACAGTTCATGGTTTACAGCAGAGGTGGCGAACCTATGGCACGGGTGCCAGAGGTGGCACTCAGAGCCCTCTCTGTGGGCACGCGTGCCATCGCCCCAACCAGGCCCAGACCATCATTAAAGTGTCGAATTCTCTGCCAAATAATATTAAGTAAATGAAAGCATTTGGGATTGCTTTCCTTACTTTGTTTGGATCATCTTAAGTTAATGTATGAGTTGTTTTTTCTAAAGTAAAACCTCAGTATTCAGGTTAAATTGCTGTGTTGGCACTTTGCGATAAATAAGTGGGTTTTGGGTCGCAGTTTAGGCACTCGGTCTCTAAAAGGTTCGCCATCACTGGTTTACAGTATTCAGATGGCAATGGTACCTCCAATTACAACTGTGTCCCCGTCTCGTAGGGCAATGAGTGGGAACAGAGTTACCATTGTTACAGTTGGAGTCAGATCATCTTTGTAATTTGTTTGAAATGTGGAGGATCAGGGATAACTCTGTAAAGCTTCTGTGCTTCCAAGGTAATTGATATTTTTTTTTACATATAACCCAATGCTTATTTCGGAGATGGTTTGGTCAATTACTGGCAAATTCCATTTTAGTTTTAGAACCACATGAAGCTGTCTTACTGAACCATACCATGAGTCCATCAGAGTCCAGCAGTCCAGCAGGAGCTCTCCAAGGTCTCAGGTAGAAGTCTTTCGCACCACCTACTGCCTGTTCCTTTCAACCTGACACTCTACCACTGAGCCAGGGCCCCTCACAAAGGCCCTTTCTTACATTACCATTCTAAACTGGATATTATTCATTGTTGGCCCAATTTCAAGTAAAGCAATACAGGGACACAGGTTTCATACAGTGAATTTCCTTCCGTCAATGCACCATCCCTGAAGTATTATGGCCATTTCAAACAGTGCTGCTTTTTCCCTGCCCCTTTTCACCACACAATCTTCCTCAGCCTTTTAAAAACATTAATAAGAACATAAGAGATGCCAATGTTGGATCAGGCCAAAGGCCTCCTGGCTCTGGGATCCAGAGGCTTAGTGCCTTTGAGTGTGCAGGTTCCCACGGACGTCTCCAGATTTTGCCTGGGGGCTGTCTCACCTCTTTCTCCTCCCTTCCACCTCTGCTATATTCATTTTTGTTGAAAGCCACAGACCCCATCTGGCCCAGCTGCTAAAAACAAAAGTAGTGCAGTGGGACTCGCTTCCCTTCCAGGTAGGTTGAAGGAACTGCTCTTGGATGTCTGAACATTTTGAAGCTCTTTTTTGGGGGGGAGCAGCCAAAAAAAAAAAGGCAAGCACAACCCTCCTTTCTAGAGTTGTCAGGTCCCTCCTGGCCACTGTCAGGGCACGAGGGATGGTAGGTTTGCCAGGGGATGGAGCCTGGGGAGGACAGAGACCTCAGTGGGGAATACAGTGACACAGAGTCCACCCTCCAAAACATCCATTTCCTCCAGGCGAACTGATCTCTGTAAATCTAGAGATGAGCAGTAATCCCGGGAGATCCCCAGGTCCTGCCTGGAGGCTGGCATCCCTACTCCTTTCCGCGCTGGGTTCCAGCTCGCCCCGGCAGAATCCAGCACTGTACGGTAGGCTGGCATCCTAGACAATCGCCTAGGTCCTCCCCACAACTCCTTCCCCCTTCGCCACACAAAGCCCTGTCGCTGCTCTCCCCCCCACACACACAAACCATTCACCTTTGGCGGCCACCCTCGTTTGATTCGCCCCCTCCGCCAACTCACAAGCCCGATTTCCCCTCCGGGAGCAAGCTAGGGATGCCAGCCTCCAGGCGGGACCCGGGGATCCCCTGGAATTACACCACATTCTCTAGACGACAGAGATCAGCTCTCCTGGAGAAAATGGATGGATGCTCAGGAGCAATGTTCCCTCTAAGCTGTGGAGTCTTGTGAGCAAAAATTCTACTCTGTGAGCCACTGGCATGAAAGTTGTGAGCAAATGATTTGGCTGCTGCATACGTTAGTCTGCTCTGGAGCCATCCTGCCTGAGCGAAGACAAAAAATTGTGAGCCGGAGGCTAAAAAAATGTGAGCTAGCTCACACTAACTCAGCTTAGAGGGAACACTGCTCGGGAGTGGGTGGGCTCCGTGGCATTGCGCCCCACTGAGGTCCTCGTGCCCCCAAGGCTCCATCCCCAATTCTCCAAGCGTTTCTCAGCCTGGATCTGGAAACCCTACCCCCCACCCCCCAAAAAACCTACCGGTGGCCGGGGGGACCTGGCAATCCTAGGCCTCCGAGCTTCCCAGCCATCTATTCCGCTGAAGGCAACAGAGGGAGGCGAATGATCGCGGGCAATTGGGGCGGGGGTCTTTCCCTTCTTCGCCCTCCCCACACCCGACCCTTTGCTTGGAGACACACACCGGGGACCTTCGTCTTGCAAGGCGGATGCTCCCCCCCGCCCCGCTCCTGCCAAATCCTCGACAGCCTAATCATGCTCGGTCTCCCCCCTCCCCAACACGCATCCGGCCTTACGCAGGTAAGACACAGCGGCGATTGTCAGACGCACCTACCGCGGCCCTCCCAGAAAACGCCTCTGTCTGCAGTCAACCGCGAATGTTTCCTCTGCACGCGGTTTCTATTGTTTCCTGTTGGTTGTTGTGAGCACTCCCCTTCCGCTTTCCATCCGACGCTTTCGGGGTTTTGATGCAATTTTCTCGGCCACCGGTGGGGGGCACCATCCGTATTGTTTGTTTTCATCCCATGGCGCAGCCTCTGACTTTTTCGTCTCCTCCTCCTCCTCCTCCTCCGTCTCCTTCTCCTTCTTCTTCATCTCCTTCTTCTTCTTCGTGATGATTGATGATGATGATGATGATGATGATGATGATGATGATGATGATGATGATGATGATGATGATGATGATGATGATGATGATGATGATGATGATGATGATGGTGATGATGATGATGATGATGATGCAGGGCTCTGGGCAACGTAGGACCTGAAATAAAACAAGATACAATTAATTCCAGGGGTCATTTTGTAGAAAAAGAGGTGCAGGAGCTCATCAGGTAAAGGTAAAGGTTCCCTTGCATGACTAAACACCAAGGTGCAGGGAACACTGTTACCTTCCCACTGAAGTGGTACCTATTTATCTACTTGCAATTTCTTGCTTTCGAACTGCTAGGTTGGCAGGAGCTGGAACTAGAGACAGGAGCTCACCCCATCTTGCGGCACCCGGGTCTTGAACTGCTGAACTGCTGACCTTCTACAGCCTGCAGTTCAGCGTCTTAACCACTTGAGCCACCGCAGCTCCTAGGAGCTCATTAGCATAACTTATTTGCATATGCCACACCCCCTGACATCACCGGAAGTGTGTCAGAAGACAACACCCGCTCAGGCTCCACTGAACTGCTTTGGATTGCTAGCTATTGGGGGAGGGGGAGATGTGCAGATCTGTCCTGGCAGAGGAGGGAGAGCTTCTGCCTGAATAAAACTTGGTGTTAAAGGTGCCACTGGACTGTTTTGGACCAGGAGGCCAGGGGGAGCTCTGCAACTTACCTGGCTGCTTCTTGCTCTGACTGAGGGCTGCGGGGAGCAGGGGCTGGGGCTTGTTGCATGTGTCCCGCCTCCTGGGCTCCTTACTGCCGGAGCGCTCCCGCAGGAAATGACCCCTGCTTAATACAATATTAAAAACAAACAGATGGCAAATAACCAGTCCTCCTTCCAACTCCCACTACCGGCTACGTGGACAGGGGAGAGGACGCAGTGTTCCCCCCGAGCTGAGTCAGTGTGAGCTAGCTCATAGTTCCTTACCCTCCGGCTCACACATTTTTGTCTTCGCTCAGGAAGGATGGCTCCACAGCGAGCTAATCTACGCAGCAGCCCACTCGCTCGCTCACACCTTTCGTGCCAGCAGCTCACAAAGTAGTATTTTTGCTCACAGGTCTCCATAGCTTAGAGGGAACATTGGCGAGGAGGGCAAAATAGATGCAGACAACAAGGAAGGGGAAGGCTGCCAGCCAAGATGGAACCGTCGCTGTCCTCAACCAAAAGCCTGGTGGAACATCTCTGCCCCGCAGGGCCCTGATGGAATTTGGCAGAGAGTTCCACCAGGTTGGGGCCAGGACTGGAAAGGCCCTGGCTCTGGTCAAGGACAGCCGGATGTCTTTAGGGCTGGGGATCACCAGTAGATTGCTGTTTAAGGAGCGCAAAGCTCTCCTGGGGACATAACGGAGGAGACATAAGAACATAAGAGAAGCCAATGTTGGTTCAGGCGGATGGCCCATCCAGTCCAACACTCTGTCACACAGTGGCCAAAAATACCAGGTGCCATCAGGAGGTCCACCAGTGGGGCCAGGACATTAGAAGCCCCCCCCCCACTGTTGCCCTTCCCCAAAAACACCAAGAATACAGAGCATCACTTGCCCCAGCCACAGAAAAAGAGGTGCAGGAGCTCATTAGCATAACTCATTAGCATAACTTATTTGCATGTGCCACACCCCCTGGCATCACCGGAAGTGTGTCAGAAGGCAACACCCACCGCTCAGGCTCCACTGGACTGTTTTGGATTGCTAGCTATGGGGGGGGGAACGTGCCCTGCAGGAAATGACCCCTGCTCTTTAGGTTCTGTTTTACGCTGGCCTCTCTTTGTAGCATACATCCACCAGCACCTTTCTGTTGTTCACAGACTTTGATATAAATGTGTCCTACTTAGGGATGTACCAAGGAAGGGAGCTCTGGCTCATGAAAGCTTCCTCCGGAATAAACTCTGGTATTTATTTATTTAATTCATTTCTACCCCACCCTTTTCCCCCAATGGGGACTCCTGGCAGCTTATATTGCTCTCCTACTCCATGTGGTCTTCACAACAACCCTCTGAGGTAGGTTAGGCTGACAGTGTGTGACTACCCCAAGGTCACATGAAGCTGCCTTATACCGAATCAAACCCTTGGTCCATCAAAGTCACCCTTCCAGGAAAGAGAGAGCCAGTTTGGTGTAGTGTAGAGCATGGACTCTAATCTGGGAGAACGGGGTTTGATTCTCCATTCCTCCACATGCAGCTGCTGGTGTGATAGTGGATCAAGTTACAAGTTCTTTCAGTTCTTTCAGAGCTGTTCTCTCAAGTTCTCTCAGCTCCACCTACCTCACAGGCTGTGGAGTCCTGTGAACAAAAATTCTACTTTGTGAGCTACTGGCATTAAAGTTGTGAGCGAGCGATTTGGTTACTACATAAATTAGTTTGCTCTGGAGCCATCTTTCCTGAGACAAGATAAAAATGTGTGAGCCGGAGGCTAAAAAACTGAGCTAGCTCACCTTAACTCAGCTTAGAGGGAACACTGCTCACAGGGTGTCTGTTGTGGGGAGGGGAAGGGAAAGGAGATTGTAAACCACTCTGAGACATCTTCGGGTAATGAAGGGCGGGATATAAATCCAATCTCTTCTTCTTCTTCCCTGCCTGATAGGATTGCTGTGAGAATTAAATAGAGGGCAGAACAACACTGTCAGCCTCTTTGGGTCCTCACTGAGGAGAAAGGTGGAGTATGACAGCTTTATAAAGCTCATTTTGATGAAGGTTTGGAAAAAAATAATGTGATTGCTGTTGCCGTTGTTTCATCCGGCGTTGCTGGAACTTTTCAAGGAGGAGGCAGAACTACTTACGCAAAATTCAAACTTTCCTTAAATATAGCGAGCACTGGCGAGTGGAACCCCTAGTCCTAAAATAAAGCTTGAAATTTGAAAGTTGGTCACTGAGTTCAGGATGATGATGGGATTTGCAGTGCCAAAAAGGAAGGGAATTGCAATTACTTCAGCCAGGATATCTGCAGAAGTCCCCGACCAGTAGTCGCAACCAGGGTCTTCTCATTCTAAAGCTCTTTAACCCAATAGGCAGCCATTCTTGTCTGTTTTCAAGAATGTTTACTCCCTTTATTAAGCTTGGAGCAGTGAGATGCCAAGGTGAAGAGAGGGCTATGTGTTTTCCAAAAGGTCCCTGGGGATCACAGACTTATTAAAAATAAAGTTTCTAGTTCTCATGGTTGCAGAGGTACATTTAAAAATGTCCCCTGAAATCCCAGAAGAATGGAGGGTTAAATGTGGGAGAAAATTTCTAAAAGGGGAAAATATTCCCAAGGGGATTCCTCCAGCCTTTAAACTACAGGGTATTCAGTGCGACAATTCGAGGGTTTTCAACCCTTGCTTTTTATTTTGTTCTTAAGGATTGTTTCTTTCTTTTTTAAAAGTTATGTTTTCCTTTGGTGCCAGAACCCTTCAGGGCCCTCTGACTGGAAAAGCAAAATCAAAGTGCAAACCAGAGAAAAAAGAAACCCTAAACAGAAGAGCCCTGCCCTTCTGTTTAAGTATTTTTCTCCCTTTCTCACAATCCAAGAACTCATGAGCACTCAATGCAATTAATGAGAGGCAGACTTAGAACAAAGGAAGTATTTCTTCACCCAAACAGTAATAAACATGTGGAATTCACTGCAACAGGAAGTGGTGGCGGTTACAAGCATAGACAGCTTCTAGATGGGACTGGATAAACATCTGGAGCCGAGGTCCATCAGTGGCTATTAGCCACAAAGTATAGGTGGAAGACTCTGTCTGAGGCACTGATACCCTCTGTCTTCTTGATGCTTGGAGGGCAATTGAGAGGGCTCCTGGACTTCTGGCCCTGCTGGTGGCCCTCCTGATGGCTCCTGGGTTTTGGCCTCTGTGTGACACAGAGTGTTGGATAGGCCACTGGCCTGAACCACCATGACATTTTCTTCTATGTTCTGCAGAAAGGCAGCTCACAGGCTCCAAAAATTGAAACATAAAATCTATTTCAGCTGAGCCGATCCCATGGCCCATGCCTATCAGAGAAGTTATGTGTGTGTGCACACACATAATATATATACACTCACACACATATAACCCCATTAAAATAGGCCTAATATAGCCTGTTCCTTTGCAGCGGGATATCACATGCTTCGTGACGTTTATCTACCTTTCCCGTTTGCATTGTCTCTCCCAGGTGGCTTTAACTGCAGATTTTCTCTATGGTCGAAAGCGAGAGAGCCAGCAGTTGGGGGGGGGGGGGGATAATAGCCATTTCCAGCTGCCTCCCAGAAGCGCCCTCCGAATCCCCCGGGGCTGCTGTTTGAACGGCAGGGAGGGAATCTGCTGGTGAGTTCAAAGGAGCAGGGTGGGGCTGGGGAGCTGTCATCCCAGACCTACGGCAGAGGGAAAGGGGGGGGGGGGGTGCAGCGGGGTCTGCTTTGCATCAGAGAGAGCTACGACGTCCCCGCAACGGCTTGTGGTGCAGAATTCAAACCCATCACCTAGAGAGGCACGGGAGGAGGGGGGGGGGGGGAGACGTTTCCCGACTCTTGAGTCTCCCCAAGTTGCTGCTTGAATGGCGGGGGGGCCGCCTGGGGTGTTCCAAAAGGCTTGCGGGGGGGGGATACGTGGGAGGGGCTGCAAGGGAAAGCCCAATACGGAGGAGGAGGTAAGCGAGAGTCCCCCTCCCCGAGACCCTTCCTTGCACCTCGGGGGCTCCCTCTGCGGCATCAGAGGAAGCTGAGGGGGGAATTTGGGGTGGGGGAGGAGAGATACATGCGCTGCCCCCTCCCCTGTCTCGCGCTCCTTTCCTCCCAGCCAGCTGTCTAGTGACGGCAATCCCCCCCCCCAAGCCAGAAATAAAGGCGAGCTGATTGCCGTCTCCCGGAAGTGACGTAGGCACGTCAGGGGGAATGCTCTGGTTTTGGGGCAAAACTCTATGGTAGAAGCTAATTGCCCACAAACCAGAGCGTCATCCCCCTATGTGTGCCGTCACTTCCGGGCTATATAGGCGCCTCGCGTTCATCTCCGGCTTCTTCCCTCCCCATTCCTGGTCAGTGCTTATTAGCACTTTAAAGGGTTTTAGAATTGTTTTAATCTAATTTATATGTTATGTACTATTGTCATTACGTGCTGCATTTGGGTAAGCCGCCCTGGCTGGGAGGGCGGGGTAAAAATTCAAATAATAATAAGTGCACCCCCACCACCCCGGGGAGATTTGGTGTGTGTGTGTGTGGGGGGGAGCTGAGGGGGAGAAGGAAGTAGCAGAGGCAGGAGGGGGGAAGTGAGGGGTGCCGAGGGGGAGATAGTTTGGAAGGTGCAGCGATGCAGGAGGAGTGCAGAAGGAAAAGCCGAGGGGGGGGGGGACTCAGTCTGGCACACAGACTGTGGCACTTGAAGAAGGAAGAAGAGGAGGCTGGATTTCCACCCCACCCTTCACTGGGAGTCCCAGAGCGGCTTAGGAACTCCTTTCCCTCCCCCTCCCCACAGCAGACACCCTGTGAGGCAAGTGGGGCTTAGAGACCTCTGACAGAAACTGCTCTTGAGAGAACAGCTCTGAGAGAACGGTGGCTGTGGTCACACACACTAAATACTCCACTCCCAACCCACTTCCCAACTGGATTTTGCCAGTTCACACAGTAAAATCCAGTTGGAAAGTGCACCGAAAGTGGATTATTTAGTGTGTGTGGCCGCAGCCTGGGACTGACCCAAAATCACCCAGCTGGCTGCATGTGGAGGAGCGGGGAATCAAACCCAGTTCTCCAGATTCCTTCTCAGCTAGAAGGCCCTGCTGTTTTGTTTTGTTTTTCTTTTGAAAACGAATGCAGGTGTGTTACACTTTCCCCACAAGGGTTATTTTCCTTGAGTTCCATTCTTTCAGGAAGCAGGTTTTTCCCCCTGCTCCCCACACCACAGTGGTTCATTTAGGCACCTTCCAAGATTTCCCTGGTTTTTCTCCACTCTTTTCTAAACTTGTTTTCCTCCTGTGGAGTCTTGGGAAGTACAGCAGTAAAGACTGGATAGCAGCCATGTGGGCGGGAAAGTCCAGGTTTCCCCTGGGGCAGCCCACACGACTGCCATTTCCCTAGCCCCACCCCACATTACCCTGCCGTGGGTGCATGTGTTATATATCAGTAAATAAGAAGTCAGTGTATCAGCCTCTCTGAATTCTCTGCTTTCATTTTTTTAAACATAAATAAACCACTAGCCCTTTTTGTTGCAGAGATAGAACGTGAAAGGCATGCATTATAATGCTATAAGAATATTCAGTTGCAGATCGTGCCTCCTCTTGGACGTGTCTTCCTGCATCCGGGAAAGCCTCTTGACACCTTTGTGTGGAACCGGGAGGCCGCTGCAAAACCCTGAGTGCAGAATCTGAATTGGGCACCTCAGGAGGTTGGACAGGGACCAAGTAGGTCCAGGTTCCATAGAGACATGCATTGGATGGAGACGCAGGTAATGATGGGAAAAGGCGTCCTGACTTTGGTTGGGGGTGGGGAGGGAAGGCAGGAGGATTCCTAAAGGAAAGGCCAAGGGACAGCAAAAACGGTTTCCCTCCTTTCTTTCTTTCTTTCTCTCCCTCCCAGGCAGCAGCAGAAAAATGCCTTTGAGGCCTTCTCCGCCATCTCCTCCAGGTGCTGAAAGGAAAAGAGTCACCATGCGGCCAGCTCAGGTACTGGGGTGGGGTTTCATTGGGAAGACGTGCGGTCAGAGGGCAGAGATACTTCTTTCTCTGTTGCAGAGCTGAGAGGATTGGGTTCCTTTTGCTTGATTCTGGTGCTGTCCACTGGGAAGGCAGAAGATGACCACCTGCTGTCTAGGGTGGCGTGTGCAGAGAATCCTTTGCAGCTTCAGGAAAACTATAGTTTTGTTAGGATGGATTCCAGAGCCAGGAGGCAACATGAGGGGAAGGCCTCAGCCTCTATGCCCTGTTGGCCACTGTTTGAGATGGGATGTGCAACTAGATGGACTATTGGTCTGAATATCGGGCTGTTCTTATGTTCTTAGATGTGCATGTGCAGAGTGGGCCTACCAACTCCAGGTGAGGTCCAAAGTTCTCCTGGTGCTACAGCTTATCTCTAGACGAGGGAGATCAGGGCAACCTCCACCATGTCCTGTCCCTCTGCTGAGCTCCCTCCTTCCCATCCGCCCTTCCAGGGCACCACCCCCAGATCTCCAGGCGTTCCCCAAGCCAGAATTGGCAGTCCTAGTGGAGGAGATTTTATTTTTTAGCTTGGAAATCATAGCTGACATCTGGCGACCCCTAGTGGGGCATGGAGGCAAGGGACGTTCAGAGCTGGCTTCCTGTCACCTGCCTCTGCATCATGACCAAGGCTCCCACTAAGCTGTGGAGTCTTGTGAGCAGAAATTCTACTTTGTGAGCTACTGGCATTAAAGTGGTGAGAGAGCAATTTGGCTACTGCATAAATCAGTTTGCTCTGGAGCCATCCCGTCCTGAGTGAAGACAAACATGTGTGAGCCGGAGGCTAAAAAACTGTGAGCTAGCTCACACTAACTCAGCTTAGAGGGAACACTGATCATGACCCTGGTATTCCTTGGAGGTCTCCCATCCAAGTACCAGCCAGGGTCGGCCCTGCTTAGCTTCCGAGATCTGATGAGATCGGGCTTGTTTGGGCTATCCAGGTCAGGGCGTGGAGAGCTGGATTTTGAGTCACACGGAATGTTTCTTGGCCTTGATGTTAAAACAAAAAAGGTGGGGTGGCTGATGTTATTGTTCAATGGTCCGGCAGAAGAAGCCCAGTTTGCAGTGCTGGACAGTCTGAAGGTGGTGCCTGAGGAGACTTTTCACGACGTTCACCTGTGCGTATCGAAATTTATTGTGAGTTGTTCTGAGACGTTCTGGGACAAAGACACAATGGCTGCTCTTCTCTTGGGAAGGTGATAAGATCACAATCTGTTCTGAGCATCCAGACTTAGTTGTTCCTCATAAGGAACGGAGAACTAAATACAAACGTGCTTGTCTCCTGATAAGGAGTCGCAGCTTTTATGATTTTTAATGAGACGTCAAAAAACTGATTTTATAACTTGGATCAAAATTACAAACAAGTTATATACTTCATAATATTAACTTATCTCTCAAACTGGTTCACCACCAATTTAAAAACTGTTCACTAAACACTTAAAACTTGAAGGGGTTGGATACATCTGAAAATGTAGTTCACACAATAGTGTATTTCCAGGGTGAAAGGTGTTTTTGGAGGAAACGGGGAGTATGAATATCTAACAGCAGTAATGCCCACAAAATTTGTCCCTTTCCACATCATCAGACGACGTGAAAAATGCACCAGCTAACTGGTTTTGAGGGTACTGTTAAAATCCAATATCCCACAGAAGAAAGGCCTGGGGTTCAACGATACACACAATGCCCACTGGAGCCCATTTACCTGATGAGGTGCCAGGAATGAGACTTCAGAGATGCCCATGAAGGAAACAAAGTGGGGAAAGTGAGATTTGTCAATACTAAATTTTTTCAAATTTTCAAAATCCTTTCAAGATATTTTGTAATTCCCTGCAGAACTCTGAACACCTTTAAGGTCCCCTCAAACAAATGGCAGGTGGGTCATGGGAGGAGAAGGCCCTAACACTTATCCAGTGCTGCTTTTATTGTAAGACGAAATGTTCTTTGAGATGAACCACATTACACCTCTGTTGTTACAAGAAAGTCCTGTTCTTAGAGGAGGGGCAAGGGATCAGAAATGTAGGGTCTGTGGGGATTTTGAGATGCAGTTTTGCAGTGCAGTTTTTGTCCACTAAGAACTGGACGTGACACCTCTGGCCTGTTGCCTCAACGGATCTGCTCCTCTTGCCGCCAATGCTCCCTCTAAGCCGTGGAGTCTTGTGAGCAAAAATTCTACTTTGTGAGCTACTGGCATTAAAGGTGTGAGTGAGCAATTTGGCTACTGCATAAATGAGTTTCCCACTGATATTAAGAAATGCCCCCTTCTTCTTGCAGGCTGGGGTGTCCTTTGAAGAGGTGGCCGTGTATTTCACCCAGGGGGAGTGGACCCTGCTGCGCCCAGCCCAGAGAGCTCTCTACAAGGAGGTCATGCTGGAGAACTTTGGGAACGTGGCCTCTCTTTTTGGTAAGGAGTTCGTTTTCCCTTGACTCGCCCCTCCATACTGTGGGGAGTGATGATGCCCAAGCTCTGTGATCCTGTAGATAGACCTGGCTGGAGTCCCGGTTCCTCCTTGTGGCTAATGGAGCACCAAACGAGAGGACGTGAGGAGAAGCTGGTGCCCAGGGATGTTTCCTTTGGAGAGGGTGGATCAGTCAGAGGAGGTGTTTCCCTCCAGCCTGGGGCTTCCTTGACCTGTGTTTGCAAAAGGGCTAGAGGTAGGAACTGAGGGTGTGGAAGGAAAGAGGAGTGTGTGGGTATGTTCTGTGGAAGGAAAACAGAACTGGGGAAACGGAGTCATATGCTTGCCTGTCCTAAAGTAAATAGATCAACATGGGTAGGTAGCCATGTTAATCTGTCCGTAGTAGTGGAAAAGAGCAAGAGTCCTGCAGCACCTTAAAGACTAGCGAGATTTGGGGACAAGGTATGAGCTTTTGTCAGTCACAGTATCTGAAGAAGTGAGCCCCCGACTCACTAAAGGTCCTACCCTGCCACAAATGTTGTTAGTCTTTGGGGTGCCACTGGACTCTTGCTCTTTTCTGCTGTCCTAAAGAAGGTGTGTCGTACCATGTAAGTGGTGGAAGATTGTCTACAGGGGAAAGGAAACACCATTTCTTCGATGTTAGAAGAAGTTATTTC